CCTGGGAATGATTCTTTTCCACGGGATTGCCGGCCCAGCCATTCGGTAGGCTGAGGCGACCGGAGAGTTCGGTATCAAGAAACAGCCGCAAGATTTAGTTGCTGTGGCGAGGTGTTTCACTCCCAGGGAAGTCGAGGCCTGCATGGAAGACTTCTGCCAGATTTCCCCGGGGCTTTTCTTGGCTCTGATTAATCTGCGGATTAGGGAAGGGGATAGTCAACAGCAACATCCCCGGGACTCTCTCGGTTGGTGTGGCAGGAGGTCTCCGGAATTTGGGGAAGGGTACTAAAAAGTCGACGGCAAATCAGGAGAATCCTAAAAATGAGAGGATAATGAGGGCTGCTCTGGTGGAGAAGAGGCGGGTCAGGGAAAAAGCACTGATGAAGTTGGAAACGCGGCCCTCAAAACTGGAGAAGGAATCGATCAACCCTGGTTGTAGGCAGCCCTAAGAGCGTCTCTCTTGTTTTCCTGGCCGTCAACCCGCTTTAGGCAAAGCTTCTCCACGGCACTAGCCTCTTCCCCACCAGGCGCTTCTGGGAAAGGAGATGGGCTTACTAGCGGGGGCAGGGTGTAGCGAATGGTTTGGAGTGGGAAAGAGGCCCTCGGAGATCAGGAACAGTAGAAGAAAAGCAAAAGCTGAAGTTGAGAGAGACCGCAGAAGGGGGAATGCGAGGGTCAGAAAACTCCCAGGACTCCCAAGTGAACGCCGAGAATGAGAATCTGGAAGGAATAAACAGACCAGGCACCCCGAGGGAAGACTAAAAAGACTCCGGAGGTTTTTAGCCAAGTTGCAAAGGGGATGGTGGTTTGGGGTGTTAAGAAATTCAGCCCACACCAGATCTACTGTAATCGCAACCTGGCAGGAAATGTTGCTGTTAGAATAGATACAACTTTCAGGCGCAGAAATTTGTCTCGAGAAGGGCCAGAGAGGATTTCCTAACTGCTAATGATGGGATACACCACCAACGTTTACTGCGCGCCGAATTCGGCTCTTCTTTTCTTCTTGGCGGTCTGCTGTGGTCGGCAAGAAAGGCTGGGAAAGGGCAGATTTCCCCTCCCCACCCCTTCCCTCCCCCTTGCCCCAAGCGCTCCGGCTAGGGCTTCATTGTGCGTTTTTCACGGGTCTCTAAGCAGATCTCAGAGTGTTCCCACCTCCCACTTGGCTAAGATAAGATCTGAACGGGCCAGAAAGAAGGCTGCCTGGTGGAGAGAGCAGGGGAAGGGGGCTGCTTGAAATTCGACTTGAGGTTGTCCTTGGAGCAGCGTTGCAAGTTCTCATCAGTGTCCGGAAACGCCCTGCGTCCTCCAAAATAGCAAAGGGGCTCAAATCTACCTGGGAACGCTAGATTTGTTTGCGGGCTAAGGTGCTGCGTTTTATCCTTGGGCTGAGGGGGATATTGTTCTCGTTCCCCACTACAGTCCCGAAGCATGGGTATCCGAACTTCTCAAAGCCACCGTTCCTCACGCTTCCTTGCCTCTACGTTGATCTGGAATAACGTCTCCGTAGCACTTGAAGAAGCAGCCTTCAGTAGAAAGAAACCCACACAGGTGGTTTTAATAGCTTTGCCTGTCAAATTGTAGGGTGAACAATTCTGCATTTCCAAAGGAGAAATATTTAACATAAAACAATTGTTTACAATTTAGTTTAGTTGTCTCTATTCAATTACTCAGTAACAGGCAATTTCATTAAAAAAAAAACCTTCTAACTTTATTATTATTAGGATTTATTCTATGAGGATTAGAAAGATGTCAAAATAAAGAAAAATAAAATAGAAACAGACACCAATGGTTCAGAAACAAACTGAACAAATGTAATAAAGGTAGTATTTTCCCCTCATATTATGACCACTAGCAATACAGGGACACCGGGCAACCAAAATTAAGTATTTTCTAGTCCAACTGATTATAGTTGGACAATCAACAAGCACATACTTCATTATTTCCCAATGGGTCTTTAACGTACTATACTTTGGCCCTAATTGTTTCTCTAATACCAGTAAAGTTAAATGTTTTAAGGGTTGCAGGTATATTTGAATTAGGAGGTTAATTAGAATACATTAATAGTACCACAGATGTTATTATGGTATAACATCCAGCTCAGAACAAGAGATTTGAAATACCAAACCTGATGCCATAATGTGGAGGTAGTACATTTGGTATTTAACCTTTCCCCATCCACTTCTTCCCTCACCCAACCTCACCCCGGTTCCTGGGGTGATTTGCATGCAAAGGGAAATGCAGATTACTTTCTCAAACACTAAGAGGTTTATTGCATTTCTCTACAAAATCAGCTCTGGATCTGACAGCTGCCAATTTAACAAACTGTAGCTCACCTATTATTTGCACAGATTGCAAGCCTCTATACTTTGTGAACAGGTGTATTGAAGTAAAGGTGCAATTTTGGAATGTTTCTGCCTTTCTCTGTCTTCTCAACCAACACAGTGAAATGTGACAGGGAGAGAGAAAGCATAGATCAAGCACCAATTGGTTTATCCAGAAGAAACAGTCTTTCCTTGGCAGAATCTCGGTTGGGAAATGATACATAGATTCACTGATGTCACAAGAACACCACTTCAGAACATTCATCTGCAATACTAGGGGGCATCAGAGAAAAGTGTGTGTGTGTGCAGGGAAGAAGTAGAATTAACCAAAAATCAAAATTGTACTGAATAAAATAAGCAAGCAAAATGGAAATATATTTTATTTCCTTTTTAAAAAAACAAACAAAACCCCCAATCTATAAAGAAAACTAATCATTTAAATAAAGATGCCTATTGCTTAGACCGCAAAGCAATATAACTGTAAGCAGTTTCTAAAAGAAATCCAATAGTCAGCTCTTGTGGTTGTTAACCACATCACTTCAAAATAAATGTCCCTGAAACCAGAGGAGCTTACTTCTAGAAAATGTGTGTGGCTTCTCATCTGTCAAAGGTTTTACTCTGGAATAAACTGGCACCCACCCAAGGATTTCATAGAGATTCAGTAGAGGTTACTTCAGAGTAAGTTGTTTCAGGAACTGCAGGCAACGGACACAAATAAAATATTAAACATTTGCTTTATCCAACATTTTTCCTCTGGACTCCATTGCCATCTCGCACCCAGGCTATTAACAGGCATGAATTTCCTTATATGTTTGCTTTCTTTTTTCCCAAGCTGAAGCAATAATTATAATCTGCAACCTAACCTTTGACTTTAGTGTTCAAGTTTAATATCTAACTTCATTTTAGCCATGGAGGTAATCACTTTTAAAGTAAAATTTGAAAAATTGAACCACAGGCATTTCTGCAAACAAATATATTATTTGAATGTAACAGCATTTATCCTCCCCCAAAAGATCATTTTGCTGGGGCAATATAGCAACCGTTTTTAAAAAGTTAGCTATCCTTCATTGTGCCTAAACTTGATCAATATTCATACAATAAATTGTTTTTCATCTAAATACCACAAACACAGTGTGGAATGAAAGAAATTGGGAGCTGGGGGAGGGAGAGACATAGTCCAAACTTTTTAAAACTCTGGTGCTAACCAAAGAAACAGAAGTTAGACAAAAACTTATTTACGTTTACCAAGCAGTTTCATAATTTAACAAAATAAATGACATATAGCGTAGAAATGATTTACTTCATTGCCTTTTAACCATACTGCACAGATATTAAAATAATATCCCAAACCTACACCACTTAAAAACAAATAAAAAACCCCACTTTCCTTTCTTTGCTTTTTAAAAAAATTCTACTGTTAATATTAAAAAAAAAATAATTCATGGTGGCAAACTTATTTAATACTCCTTCCTCCTATTTTCTCCACAACAACAACCCTGTGAAATAAGTTGGGCTGAGAGAGTGTGGCTGGCCCAAAGTCACCCAGTCGGTTTGGGACTAAATTAAGCCTCCTTTTTGTAGCCTGGTGCCTTTAAATCACTAGATCTAATTGCTTTAAAATAAAAACCATGAAAGTCTACCCCATGTTAGATTTTTGTTGCTACCAATCTTTTCCCGTTATATTTATACATACAAAGTGTCCAGTTTAAAGGCATGTCATGAATTAGTATATTTTGGATCACCTGGTTCCAATCTTATTTTGAAATTGATTTAACTCAGAATCAAACTTATCTTTAGATTTTTATTTGTTCTTCTTCAGCGAAAATGCTTTTTAGTAAACTATATACACATTTATGAATTCCCTTTTAATGCCTAAAATTAATTAAAATTATTCCACAATGCATTTACAAGAAAAAATATAAAAAGTTACCAAAAGAAAAATGCAGACATAAGAAACATTTACAAAATTCAGAATATTGTTCTTGATCATGAAACAGAAACCCTTATAAATAAACAGAACCAAAAGAACCCTGCTTTATAAGAAGCACCCCAAAAAAGTTTTAAGATGGTTCTTGACTTTATTTTTTCTTTAATTAGGCTTTAAAATCTTCACAAGAAGTTGCCCCAATAGCGACCAGTTAATGCTTCTATATGGCAAAGAAGTTGGCATCTCCTAAACCTTTGAATTATTAATAATAATTAGCATTTTCTTCTCTCAGTTTCTCTCCCGATCCCCGTACTGCTTAGTAAATAAAAAGGCTATGTGGTTTGTGGTTGAATGATAAATACTGTACAAAAGGAGGGAAAAAAATCTCAGTTAAAACACAGTTCGTCTAAAACAACAACAGAAGGAATAATAATAACAACAACAATAATAATAATAATAATAACCCCCACTGGTTTCAAAACCTAGTTCTTTGGGCTGAGGGAGACACGAGAAGGAGTTAGCATTACAGCAACCTGTTACCTTTTCTCTTCATTATCCTTTGTACTATGAATGTTTGTTATCATAACAATAATTATAAGGACTTCAAAGCATCGCCCTGGTTCTGTACAAAAAGGGAAGAATTGGGGGAAAGGGATGGCGCAGAGGGAGCCAGCCCGCTCCAAGGACCACAATCCCCTTTGGCTGCAGCGGCGGCGGCGGCGGCGGCGGCGGCATCCATCCTTCGGTCCGTCTCAGATGTGCGTCAAGGGCACGGTGCCGTTCACCCCTGTGCTGGTGCCCTGATAGTGCTGGGGTAAAGAGTGGAGCCGGCTTTGGGCAGCGGCCGCGGCGGCGGCGGCGGCGGCGGCGGCCGCTGGGTCCCCGCCTTCGCTGCCGGGCAAGTACATACTGATCATTTCGCGTAGATCCCCGGGACAAGGGGCCCGCGAGTGCGCTGAGGTGACGGGTGGGCTGACGCTGGGCTCGGATTTGACCAAGGACCCCAGCGCGCCCAGTGCTCCTGACGAGGCGGCGGCGGCAGCGGCGGCCGCAGCGGCGGCGGCCGCAGCGGCCGAGTTCTGATGTGGCTGGGCGCCGTAGGAGATGCCGCCGTAGGCCGACGGCGAGGCGCTCATGTAGCCCTGCGAGTTGGAGATGGGGCTGTACTGGAGGGCGCCCATATCGTAGCGGTGCATTGGCTGGGGGTTGTGCGGGTGCGGGTGGTGAGCGTGGGCGTGCGGGTGTCCACCGCTGCCTGGGTGCTGGCTGTAAGCGAGCTGTGCCTCTTGCATCATCGCCGCCGCCGCCGCCGCCGCCGCCACCGAGCCCGGGTAGGCGCCGTTAGCCCAGCCGTTCATGTGAGGATAGCCACCGCCTGAGCCTCCGCCACCTCCGCCGGCGCTCCCGCCACCCCCGGGGCCACCTCCGCCGGGACTTTCCAAGCGTTGGACGCCGGCGGGGCTCACTCCTACGCCCATAGCTACCGGAGGGCCGCCCCCGGGACCACCGGCGCCGAGCAGCCCTCCGGCCAGCGAATATTTGTCTTTCTTTAGCAAAGTCTTGGTCTTTCTCCTCGGCCGGTATTTATAATCCGGGTGCTCCTTCATGTGCAGCGCCCGCAGGCGCTTGGCCTCGTCGATGAAGGGTCTCTTCTCCGCTTCGGACATGACTTTCCACTCAGCGCCCAGGCGCTTGGAGATCTCGGAGTTGTGCATCTTGGGGTTCTCTTGGGCCATCTTCCGCCGCTGGCCCCGCGACCAAACCATGAAGGCGTTCATGGGCCTCTTGACTCGGTCTTGGTTGGCCTTGGGGCCGCCGCCGCCGCCGCCGCCGCCGCCTCCTCCTCCTCCCGCACCGGTTTGGCCCGACAGGTTGGTGGTGACCTGGGCTCCACCGGGCGAGTGCATGTCCGCCTCCATCATCATGCTATACATTCACGCAGTTTGCTAGGGGCCACCAGGCTCCACAATGTCAGAACATAGAGCAGAGGAGCCGGGCGTCTGCCGAGCGGACTGGCAAAGCGAAACCCAGACGAGGAGTCCGAGAGAGAAGGCGAGGTGCCGAGGCGCAAGAAATGAGATAAGAGTGCACTACGACGATCAAAGGTAAGGAGGAGGAGGAGGAGGGGAGCCCCCGAGAGTCTGCCTGTGGGGGCACTTCGCCTGGTCCCTGGGAGCTTGAAGAAAGAGCGGGAGCGCGCGCGCGGGAATCTCCTCAGGCGGCAGCAAAACTTTCTTCCTTCGGGGACCGCCTTGGCCCGAGGCGAACGGCGGCGGCGAAGGCGACTCGAACAGGTGCAAGGCGGAGGAGAGCTGGGTAAAGAACAGCGACAGTCCCGCAGCTCCGCTGAGCCGAGGAGAACGGAGAAAATGGGAGCCCAACTCTCGACGCTTCTTTTCGTTCTGCTGCCTGGTACACGCGCGCTTCAAAGGCAGGACTCCCCTCCTTCTCGCCGCTGCCGAAGTGATCTAATGCCCCCCCCCTTCTCTGCTAACTTCCACCGGCAGAGAGGCAGAGAGGAGGGAGGGAGGGAGGGAGGGAGCGTGTGTGACTCGCATCCGCCGGTCCCAAGTGAACGGAGGGAAAGAGACAGGAAACCCCCCTCCCCCTCTATCACCTCGGCTCCCCGCAAAATTAAAAGGAGGCGGGGGGGGGGGAAGAAAAGAGACGTAATTAAACGATAAGCATAAGAAGGAAAGGAGGAGGAGGAGGGGGGAGAAAGAAAAAGAAAGAAAGAGAAAGAAAGAAAGAAAGAAAGAAAGAAAGAAAGAAAGAAAGAAAGAAAGAAAGAAAGAAAGAAAGAAAGAAAGAAAGAAA